ATATTTGAATACAATGAGGACTTTAGGGAATGAAAATGAGCTGAAACACTGAAGGAATGATTTACCCTGTTTGATTGCATTTCTCTATTAGGGCTTTGAGTATCAGCCAGACAGACCCAGCTAGTACACTACTTTGATCAAGTAAGGTCATCTTGTTTTTTTTAAAGCAATAAATCCAAAAGGATGCAAACATTCTTTTTCACACGTATCCTGATTAAAGCACACTGCTGTTTCTTCACCAGTACACACTAGGCACACTGAAAGGCATCTGTAAAACCTGTGATTCTTGTGCAAGAATCTGCATGCATGGGAAAGATTGCCCTCTGGTGAAAATACAGAATTGACATATACTTCATTATAAGTATCTTGAGATGTTATGGCTTGTGGGATGGTAACACCAGATGCGCTTGTCAATGCTCTCAGCTAGGATCTCCTTTGGTTTAAGGCTGGTGGAGCTGGTGACACAGTATTGTTCCCTTCACCAAACTGCACTGGTGACACATGTGGGAGGGTAGATTTGATGGGGACACTTTGGGCAAGCAGTTCTGTGTTTTCCAGGTTGTCGAATGAAAATTGCTCTTGCATTTTTGTTGTTTTAAATTACAACAAGTGCGTAAGATTAAATTACAGCAGTGTATAAAATTTTACGTGGATTTTTCCTTTTTATTTGTATAAAACCAAAGAAACTACTACTAACCTATATTCTCTGGCAAAAGTAACTTCAGATTTGAAAACAAAAATGAGATCAGCTTCCACAGAGTAAAAGGTCACTGAGAAATCTCCCTCACCAGAACTTATAAATAGATCAGACTTGTTAGCAGAAGGGTAGACAATGCAGTCTTTGATATCTGTTCTGAATATGTTGTCTGCAAAAGCATGCATCTTGTAATTTGGCAACTGCAGGGATCCTTGGTGAAATGACATCGAGGTGCAGGTGTGGGGGGGCATTAACTTAGGCTGAAAACACTATGCATTTGTTATGTTGATTAGCCTATGCCTACTGAAGTAAAAAATCAGGATTTCTGAGGCTGGCTTTGTTCACATAGCTGTTTTAAGTTGTTCCGGCTGAAAATCAGACAGATTTTTTCCTGCTATGAAAATAATTAATGTAGTTCTGGGACTTTGATTGGTCCTTTGCCTTCTAGATGGAGAACTTACGCAGATTTCATGGAGCATGGCCTGATACTTCCAAGGGTATGCAGGAATGGCATGTGGCTTGAGCTGAGTTTTAAGCAAAGCAAGTTACTATCTAAAACTAGTTTCCAAGACCTGATCTGACTTGTTTTAAAGTTTAGCCATTTGGGAAAAAATAGGAAAATGTTAGTCCTTAAGTTTAAACTTGAAACTTTTTGGGTTGAACGGCTGAAAACTGAGGGAGAAAAAGTCAAACAAGCAAAGAAAGACTTATTCTTTTGAGACTTTGAAGAAGCAAAGAAGTGAGTTTTCAGGTTTTTCAACATTTTCATAGTATCATAGTACTTAGGGTCGGAAGGGACCTAAGATCATCAGGTCCAACTCCCTGCCCCAGGCAGGAACAGGTGCCGGGATCATATCACCCCAGCCAAATATCTGTCCAGCCTCCTCTTGAAGACCCCCAAGGTAGGAGAGAGTACCACCATACTTGGGAGCCCATTCCAGAGCCTGGCAGACCTAACTGTAAAGTAATGTCTCCTGATGTCCAGCCTGAACCTTCTCTCTAACAATTTGTGGCCGTTATTCCTAGCAACCCTAGGTGATGCCTCCCCCAATTCCCACTGGTCCCCCCCTGGTGGGTTTGTAAAAGGCCACCAGATCCCCTCTCAGCCTTCTCTTGTGGAGGCTGAATGGGTTCAGGCCCTTTAGCCTCTCTTCATAGGGCCTGCCCCGCTGCCCCTGGACCATGCAAGTGGCCCTTCTCTGGACCCTCTCAATCCTAGCCACAACCTTTTTGAAGTGTGGCGCCCAGAACTGGATGCAGTACTCCAACTGTGGCCTGACCAATGCCACAGAGGGGAACGATCACCTGCCTGAACCTGCTTGTGATGCATCTGTAGATGCACAACAAGGTTAACCTTACTGACCACTTCCTCGCATTGGCAGCTCATGTTCATCCTAGAGTCAACAACGACTCCAAGATCCCTTTCTGCCACTGTGTTGACAAGAAGGGTGTTCCTCAGCCTATAGGTGTGTTGCTGGTTCTTTCTCCCTAGATGCAGCACCTTGCACTTGTCTGCATTGAATTCCATCTTATTCTCATCCACCCATCTCTGTAATTTGTCTAGATCTAGCTGGATTCTGTCCCTCCCCTCCATCATGCCCACCTTGCCCCACATCTTGGTGTCGTCAGTGAATCTGGACAGCGTGCTTTCCACATCCACATCCAGATAGCTGATAAAGATGTTGAACAGCACAAGCCCCAGGACCGAGCCCTGGGGGACTCTACTGCTGACATCCCTCCAGGTTGAAAACGACACGTCCACCACCACTCTCTGGGTGCAACCATCTAGCCAATTTGCCACCCATCTGACTGTAGGCATTTCTGTAACAGCTTTCTGCAAAATTGTATTCTACCAAGTAGTCGAGATCCTAAAACTTAATGTGAATTTTTTGTTCTTCCAAGTTGTTACCCAAGCAGTGGTTACTGGTGAACAACTAAAGTGGAATCTTTTGCCTCATTATACTGCAAAATGTATCACTCTTAGTTACAAGGGCCATAAACAAAATAAGGAATGCAATCTTTACTACAGGAAAAAATGCTTTTATAATTCCAAGTGTCTGTGCTTTTTGACTAAAACTAGAAGCCAACCATGAATTGTACCTGAATTAGTAATGTAGAGTTTCTTTACTTAAGACATACAATTTTGTTCCATTCTTTCAGTTTTCTCTTCTCAGTAATGATTATCTAGCATGCCATCACATGAAACGGAGTCATGTTCCTCCAAATATTAATGGCACTGAAAATGTTCTCACTTGTTAAACTAGTGTCTTCCCACCTATCCCTGGATATTTGGATAATCATGGCTCAATTGTATTTGTAGATCACCATGTAGGACAATTCCTTCTCAAATGAAGCTTAATTGCTAAGAGGACCTATAAGGGCATAATTCTGATCAGACTAATGGGAAATGGATTAATTTGAGACAAAGTGATATTAGTGGTTCAGTCCTAATGAATAAAGCCCAGCTTTAACAAGCATATTAGAAAAATAAAAGTCTGCAATAATTTTCTACAGGTTATAGAAAAAGGAATTAAAACAGTCGACTGGATGCCAATCCATTAATGACCGTCTGAGTCTTGCATTTCTGAATTACCCATTTCATCAACTCTAACAGGCATAATTACATGGTTTGCTTTTTGTTGCTCATAAAATTATTTTATTGGGATGAAAATCCTGAAGCACTACACTTTTCGAACCTGGCTTGGGGCAGCAGTAGAACTAATACTGTCTAAAGTTATTAGCTTACAAAAAGGTTAAAATGAGTTGCAAGAAATTGGTCCTCTTGCACAGACAGTGAAATATATGGCTTCTATGCTCTGAGCTTGGTATTTCATTAGGATTGCTATAACCTTTCTATACTCTTGCTGGTTTCAGTGATACTTTCTAGCTAGTGAATAGAGAGCTAAGGTCCTAAAGTTTTGTCCATGCTCCTGTCCCAACACAGAAGAGCAACCCTGGAATTCCTCTGCAGGGTTCCTGCAACTCTATGCTGTCTGCCTTCTTCCATCATAAAATACACAGACACCTGCTGCAAGATAGCAGCACAAATTAATACTACCTTTTTGTTCACAGCCACAAATTTGGGCATCTGTGACACAATAAAGGGCATGGATGTCTGTTTGGTTTTGCTCTGTGCCACCATAAAAATGTTTATAGTGGTGCAAAAGTGACATCTGTTTGCAGCCTAAGCAACTGTGTACATTTTTACTCTGCAATTCAGAAGAGATGACTGCAGAGAAAAGACACATCACTGGGTAAAGTATAACAAGGGTGCAGTTCCTAGGTATTGCTTCTCTAATACATCTTAGATGCTCTCTCTTTCAAAATGTATTGAACATGCATTCAAATAAATATAAATGACTTTCTAAAGGATGCAGGATTCTATATTACTCTGTTTGTAAGAGCCAGAAGGGATGGTAGTATGTAGCATTTTAGCACTTATTCTTTAATTTCCATTTCAAATTAACACTTACTCAACAAGTACTATTATTTGAGCATCCTTGTTCTATTTTAATCAAGCTATTAGGTCACCTAAAACAGTGTGCTAGTATTATTGTAGAGTCAGTGTTTTGTGCACAATCCTTTTCATCCACATTCCATTTTAATAAAAATATATTGCCAACATTCCACAAATATCAGGCTTTGTTCAGAAAAAGTGTTAAATGTTCTTGATTAGCAATTCTTGTATCTTCCATTGCATCATGTTCAATGTATTAATGCCTAACAATGCTGCCTGGTCTCAGGGATGGCTCAGAGCTCTACTGTTTAGAATAGTAGTCAATCTCGATTGACTGGTTGATCGTGGAGCCTCTGACAGTCTATCTCAGTCTGTCAGAAGCTCCATGGACTGGGAGCGGCAGGACGCACATGGCTGGGCTGAGCCAAGCCCCCTTGCTGCCCGGGCCGGGCTGGGCGAGTGGGGTCAGAGCCCGGGCAGCTTCTCAGGAGGGTGGGGCAGGGCAGTAGATCCTGGCGTGCCCTTTACTTACAAAAAGTGATCTTCACCATAAACAGGGTGGAGACCACTGGTTTAGAAGGTTACATATACGCTCTTATTTCTACTATTATCATAATTTCAAGCGTTTCATAACTGACACAGAATTGAAGAACGGACCAACATTTGGCGTACTGTAACCCACAAAATACTCCATTTTTCTTTAAATTTAATAGACAGACTAGCACTCAACTAGATAAGAAACCTATCACACTATCCCTTTATAAATATAGTGCCATGTCCAGTTCAGTCTACAGTAATTGCTTTGGGTGGCCTAAGACTAGGAATAAACATAACAATAAAAAGATATAGGACTGAACATTTTAATTCAACAAATTAAGAGTTTTAACCATGTAAAATACCATTACATACCTCTAATGTTGTAGAATTATACATTAAAAATTACTGTGCCTGTATAGATTCAAAAATATCAGGTTTTATAAATCGCAATAAAACCTTTATAGAAACCATTTAAAAATAAGATGAAACCTCTTAAACAATCGAGGTACTAAACCTTCTGAATGTTCCTCCAAAGGTGATAAGATATCATACTTAAATACTAAATTTAAACATTGCTCTTGTTCTCCATATTCTGAAAAACACTATACTGCTTAAATAAACGAAACTACATTATTGGTAACTCTCTCACTTATTACACACATTTTGCTTTTTTCAGAATCCAATTAGATTCTTCATTCTTCACGTACCATTGCACAACTCTTCACTATACAGGTCCCAAGCATATAGGTTCTAGGAATGTTTTCAAAAACTATGAAACAAATAATACTGGAAATAGAGAAATAAATATTGTAAATATTAGTTTTGAAGGCTGAAAAAAGGACAAGGAAGTGTGAGAGCATTTCAGTAAATTTAGAATGCAAAATATCTACACAAACATTAGTATATTATAATCACACAAAGTAAAGCTTATACTATATCTTAACATTGAGCATTCTTAAGGAGGGACAGAAAGAAGGCAAAGCAGATCACAGATGAATAAACTAAAGTTCTTCATGGTAGAAACGTTCATCATGAAGCTGCCTGCCATAATCTGTGGCTTCGCTGGTAAGAAACAAGTCCTGGTTCTCAAGAATCTCTGCCTCGGAGAGCTTTTTATCATCATTCAAATCCATTTCTTCTATTAGATGAAGTGCCTTTAAAAATAAATGGAACACAAGTGTGTTTTATACAGTAAATAAACACTAACATGTGTGAATATGCTCTTTGGCACAGACTTGTCAAATTCTTGCCATTACACTGTCACTTAATTCACTAATTAAGATTTTACATGGGCTTATTTTCTCAAGTTCTGTTTTCCTTCTTTCTGGTTTGAAATAAAGTCAGTGCTGCATTTCCAAAATTCATCAATTCTCTAGCACATGACTGACATCAAACAGGCTCAAGCACTAGCTTTGTTAGGAGAGCAGAAGATGTTTCTCAGCAAATATAGTGAAAGAATGAATGAATAAATCTAAGCAAAGTGCTTGTGTGCAGTAGGCATCCCTTCTGCATCCAGCCCACAAAGGGACACGCAAGTTGTTCCTGTCTTGCAGCTACAGCCTGGTTCTTTAGCTCAGTCTGTAGGTACCTGTACTTTTTGGCTGCTTGCAGATTTAAAAAGCCCCAAACCAAACATGCGCTTTAGGAAACGCAGCAGTGTGCATTACTTCGACCCGGCTCTTCAGTGTCTGTATAAATCAGGTGCTTCAGCGGGGCTTTTTAGTGCTTTTAGCTAGAGCTAATTCAATCAGTTATTAGATAAAAGTGCCAAAAAAGCCCCACTAAAGCACCTGATCTGTACAGACATCAGGCAAGCGGGTCCAACTAACATGCTGCTTCTTGTGGGCGTGTGCTGGATTCAGTGTGGGAGTGTGCCGAGTTTAAAGTAAAGCACTGCTTTATTATTTTTTTTAATGTCTGCAAGCAGCCTTTATTCTAAAGGCCTCTGGTTCATTTTCCTGCTTGCTGGCCAAAATAGCAGCCTTTGTGTGAGGTCTCATCCAGGATTTGAACTGCTCTGGGCCTCAGTTATGTATACTCTTAATGAATTTCCTCTTGCACAGGAAGTTTAATTATTTGGTCAGTATGTCACATGTCTACCAGAATAAATTTGTAACAGCTCTCATCTATACAGCGTATCTTTTTAGGTCACCTGATTTTAGCCTTGAAAATCCTTAATGCTAAAAGCTAATGCTAGTGGCCCTCACATTTGCATATTTTCTTTAATAAATTTTGACCAAAACAAGAGATTCTGTTTAAAGCCAAAACACAGGAGTAAACTTACATTTTTAAGACTCATCTCTCCACCCATAGGCATTTTAAATTAGCTGTGTACTTTAAAGAGATACAGGTACAGATCTGAAACCGGATATTCTTTATTCTATATTCTGTAGGATATCTTTCTGTATTTATGATCAACAAAAAGTTCTAAAAGCTCTACAACCTGCTGAACTTTGAAATTCAGATTCAGCTATTACGTTAACACTTTTCAGCATTTCCCTTTTCTTCTACAGAGCACACACTTGTCTGAAAGTGCTTTAAATGGTCACACTATAATAGAAAACACCAGCCACATCCTCAGCAAGTGCACCAGATATTTCTCAGGTCACTTATGATAATGATCCTCATTCACTTAAATAGTAAAATATGAGTAAGTTCAGCAGTACCAAAATGATACTAGATGCACATCTTACAGTAAATTATTAAGCAGCTCTCATTAAAGGCAAACTAGTTCTGCTAAGCAGCATTTCACAAAGACAAATAATTATAACCTAATACAGCATTTTTCTTGCACTTTGATCTTTTTGGAAATGTCATACCTATTCTCTTCCTGGGATAAATACTGGAGTATTACTTCATACTACATTATTATTATGAAGACTATCCACATTTGCTATAACACCGACTGGAGAAGTGTTGTAAATCTGCATTTCTTGGTTTGTCTCAACATGACTTAAATCATTCTGTGATTTTAAAGTAAATGTACATAATTATACCCCTACAGAAGATTTAAGAAAATGATAGCTACTAAGGTCAATGAACAAAAATTAAAAAAAAAATTAAGACCACCACACTTTTTAGAGGCAAAGTCTTACAATACTGAAGGCAAATTCTGGTAAATGCATACCAGTCTCTAGATGTGCTAATCAATTGAGCCATTACCCTAAGGAAATTAAATGAGAGTTTTTTGGGGTAATTTAGTGCTCAAGCAACAGACAAAAGCAAAAGAAGTCACTTGCAGTGTTTGTAGGTTCATTTTGACAACTTCCAAGCATCCAATGTCCAAGTTAATGTCACTTTTTCCTTCAACATGTAGGCTCTCAGCAAACCCTTCACTGTGGAAAAGCACCACAATGTGCTTTTTAACAAACATCACTATGGAAAAAAGTGACTGAAATCTCTGTCAGAAGTCAGCCTGCACAATCATATGGCCTTGCAAAACCATTTGATTTATTGGCTAAAAAATCAAGGGAACAACCAAAGAATTATTGAAACATTACAGGATAATGCAGGGCTTAAGGAAAGCATAGAGAAAGAGGCAAAAACAGTTATTTAGCAAGAACCATACTATCTTAAACTAAGACTGTAAGTGGCTTATAAAGTCAGGTCTGTGGTAGAAATATCAGAAGGCTGGGATACCCTGCTAGCAAAGATTCAGTGGGCTCATATGTAAGAAATGTATCGTTCTGCAACTTAACCTCATAAAGACTTGTCATACGGAGAGCCAACGTTGGGCTCCTGCTTTTCAGCTTTGTTGCTGATGACAGTATAACAAAAATGTTAAAAGGTAACTCAGCTCCCTGGCACAAGTTGTGTGCTCTTAAAGTGAGAACAGTAGGTAACTTAAGTGTAGAAGTGAGGCATATTCTTCCCTGCAATGTATTCAAAGGAAGTCACTTCATATCAATTACCAGAAAATTCCTGGCAGAGAGGGAGAAACTGTTTGCTGTACTCAACAATAGCATTATTTTTCTATTTTTTCCACTGAGGGGAGGAGGAAATCAAAAAGTAGAGAAGAGACTTCAGTTGTCTGCTAGGAAGCAGCTGAGAGAAATCTATTCAAAAGATAGTTGGTATGGCATACTGTCAGAATCAATGGATTTATTTATTTTAATTTTGCATTACTGGTTTTTAAATTATGGAATATTTGGATCCGGCTTTGATTTATGCAAATACTAGTTTCTTTGCTTAGCCAAGATCTAAATGGTTGTATCTGGATAAACCAGATACATGAAGGGTAACAAATTCTGTTGTCAAAAGAGCTAATGAAATTCTATCAGCTGCAAGAATGTAACAGGCTCTGATTAGTCTATTTCATTGGTTCATTTTATCCCTCTTATTTTATAGAGTTATAACAATTTGCTTACAGCACTGTATCTGTCCATCAAGCTCAACAGACTTATTTACCTTGAAGAATGCAACTGTATGATTTTTGTGCTTTGACCAACATTCAAATAGTTCATAAAAATTCCAACTGCTGCACTACATGGCATGCACATTTTAAACTGAAACCCAAGAGCTTTTAGAAAAAGTTATGGGAAAATCTATTAAGTGATTTCATTGCTTGCCAAGCTGTATTACAGTTTTTTGATAGACTAAATAGGATGAATGTGTATTTGGATGAGTATGTATGTTATAGTAGTCCACAATTTTTAATTGAGTTATATTAAGTCTACACAGTAGCCATGAACTCGAAATGCATACCTCCTCTTCAGCAATACCCTGATTATTAGGTACTACCCAAGTCAGCAGTTCCTGAGGGTTGAGTTTTCCATCATTATCTTTGTCATAGTCATTCACAAATCGATCCTTCTCAACGAGTATCCATTCGGGATCTTCTTTTGCCGCTAAACAAACAGTATTGACAAATTAAAAACCTTTGCAACATGGATGTTCATTTTTCCCCTAATAGAAATATGACTAGATTTAAATTTAGGAAGTGTCAACTAAAGAAATAAAATACAAAAACAAAACAACCCTTCCCAAATAAAACAAAAGACACCTATTCTTTTAGAGTAAGGCAAGTATTACAGACCATTCTTACCACAACTGCTCAAAATTCCTATGGATGAAGACAGAACTTAGAGCAGAGGCTACATTAATGCATGACATAAAAAAAATAATCAGAAAGAGTAAAAATTAAGGGCTACAATAGACTCCTGACTTATGCATATATTACATTCATAAGAAACCTCGTGTATGTCGAATTCGTGTGACTCGAGGTGAATTTTCCCATAGGAAATAATAGAAAAGTAAGGGGTTGCATTCCTTAGATCTCACATTTATGACACCAAAGGTACTAAAATAAAAACTTTTTCAACCAATACTTTATTTATTATGTTACAAAAACATATAGTAAACATATGCTGCTACAATGGCGACACTGAGACTGAGTGAGCCTCCAGAATCCTGCTTGGGAACCCAAGCTGCGTGTAACTCCATTTGACTCAGTCTGTGCATCTTGCAAGGCGCTCACATATATATGTGAATAATGTGCGTCTTGGGTGTATTTTTCTGCTTGGGTGTTAATATTAATTTGTGTAAATGCGAGACACAGGTAACAAAGTTGAATACATGTAAAACGGGGGTCTACTGTACTATCAACTTAGCCATTCCATTTCTGTCTGAAAGCTAACACCAGTACAATTAGGGATGTAAATAACAATTAAGTACCCATTTAAAATCCCCCAATGTGATCAGTTAAATGGTTAAGTGATAACGTGCATCTACTGGGAACTGGCTCCCACCTGTATTCACTCATTTTCCAGGCCCTGAACTGCTGCTGCTGCCTGTGGCTTTGTGGGGCTGTGGCAGGGCCCACTGCTGCTGCCTGCAGCTGGTCCCAGCCCCCAGCCAGTTGCATGTCAGCAGCAGATGCAGGCTGAGAAAGCCCCTTGCCTGCTGCTGCCACCAGTGTGCAGGTGCCTGGGGACTAGAGCTGGCTACAGGCAGCAGTGGTGAGCCCCCACCATAGTTCCTGTGAAGCCACAGGCAGCAGCAATGAGCTAGGAAAGCCCCTTGCCTGCTGCTGCCACCAGCACAAAGCTGCCTGGGGGCCAGGGCTGCAAGCGGCTGCATGGGGGTCTGAAGAACCCCAACCCAGCTCGTTGCCAGTGGAAGGTGTGAGCACACCTCTTGATGGATGGCAGGGGAGCCGAGAGAGGCCCTATCCTTCCTGTGGCAGTGCAGCCCTGGCCCCTTTCAAGCTGTCCACCCAGAGGCACATATGCACCTGCCGCTGGTAATGAGCTGGGCCAGGGCTCTGCAGACCCCAGTAAAACTGCTTGCAGGCTCCCTGCCATGAACAGCCGGGGCTCTGTGGCAGGTGCCTGCCGAGAGGCCAGGCCAGCTGTGGCAGGCAGCTGGGAGGCTGCAAGTGGCTGCACTGGGGGCTGTGGAGCCCTGGCCCAGCTTGTTGCTGGCAATAGTTGCACATGCACCTTAGGGTGGATGGTGGGGAAGGGGCTGGGGTTGTGCTGCCACAAGGATAGGTCCCTTGCAGCTCCCCCACTGCACCAGGTACTAGTCCCCACTCCTTCCTCTTCCCCTCCCTCACTCCTGCCTGCCCTGCTGCCTCCAGAGGCATGGCGCTGCTTCCCTTCTCCCCCCACACACCCTCTCACAGGACTGCTCCCCACTCCATGTTAAATGATAACCAGTAAAGTATTACTGGTTATCAATATATGAACATTTAATTGTTTAACCATTCACATCCCCAAGTACAATGACCCTTCTCTGCCTCTTCAATAGTTTAAAAAGTTATTTGTCAAACCAGTTTTTCCCACTGAAAACGTTACTCTGAAGGATTAACTCAGATTGAGACATCCTAAACCATATGGAACTAGTAAAAAAAAAAAAAAAAAAAATACTAGCTGACATCACACAGAAGACTGATTAAAAAAAGGAACTCTCTTTAGAAACAACTATGTTTCTCTTGTAAAGAAAGCAAGGTCTCTTGTTCTTTATTAACAAAGATATCTGCATCCAAACAGGATCTTGTTGGAGTTCTCCAACCTTTGCTGCCACTGTCAAACTTGCATCACAGTGGGATGCTACAGAAATCAACTCTTGTGTGGGGAAGGCTGTAATTATTAAACAGTCCCCTCCCCTATAGTTTGTATCAATCAGTTTTTCTGAATATTCAGGGACATCCTCTATGTGAAAACTAACCCTTAAGAGTTCAAGTAGCAGTTACAGGTTTTATAGCTGCTTTCAAGTCCCAGTTGCCAAGATTTGATTTTCAAACCTCATGTTTCTTTTCCTTTATACTCTGTGGAAGCATCAGATATTCTACTTGTCCCCCACAGCCTTAGAGGGGGAGGAGGCTCTATTGAGGTCTGCAAGAAAAAGGAAACCCTTTAAAGATTGTCTGCAGCCCCAGCCCTTCTTTGTTGACTTGAAGAAGGGGAAGTAGGGAGAAAAATCCCTAGGTGCTGGGCTGGATGGAAGGGGAGCAAACAGAAACTCATTACCCCCACATTTCCTTATAAGTCAAATCTTTCCTTTCGCTTGCAACACTGCTCTACATCCAGGAACTCTCACTTTCTTCACCCCATTAGCTTTAAGTAGTTATATATTTCAGGAGCTCATGGTGAGCATCATTCTCATTGTCTTTTGGGGGCTGGAAAGAATTTCTCCACACTGACAGACTGGCAGAGGGTCTTTTTTCACCTTTCCTGCAGCAACTCAGAGACCAGTAGTTCAAGTGTTTGTGTTCTTATAACCTGTCAGGTAGCTAGCACGATTGCACATTAAATGTGATTTATCAGGAAACAGAACACTACAACTGGAAGCAAGATTAGGGAAGGACAACCCCTCACAGCAGCAGATAAAGATGGGCTCTTAATGTTTGGTATGTGAACATCCATTCCACGCCCCCCCCCCAATTATGTATCATTAAACCTTAATGATGGGTTGTACAGTGGTGGAAGCCGGGGCTGCCATCAGTCTTCCCAGGTGATACAGATCAAGGAACAAGGGTTGACCTTGAATTATTGTTGACTAGCTTCCAAGCTGTGTTCAAATAAACTGAACTGCAGCCAAGTGAAACATGACACTAGGAATGTAGTTCATCTTCCTGCAGTGTCAGGAACAATAGTTCTTTTCTCATACCATTAAAAGGAAACAGTGGAATGGGCTATATCCCAACAACTGACAAATACATACAGAAAATATGGGAGAAAAGAAATGTTCAGCTATGCTCCGTTTGTCTGTCCTGTGATTTCAAAAAAAGTATGTTAGGGCCACCCAAAGACTTGTGTAGGTTTTCTTTGATTGTAAGTGTAAAACCTCTCAAACCATAAACGTTATAGAAAACTCAAAGCTTCTTTTCACCCTGTCCCTCCATCCCTTATACTTACTTGGATCTTTTCTGTAGTCACCCAGAAACTCTTCCAGACTTACAAATCCATCACCATTTTTGTCATGTTCTTCTAAAGCCTCCTGAATGACAAATTCCTTTTGGGTGCACATACATGTAAAACAAACATTAGTTGGTGTTGGTCAAAACTTAGCAGTATTCACTTAAGTGAAAGTGCAGGTCTAAAGGAATAAAATAAGTGCTCAGAACATGGAATATATTACTGCTTTCAAACCAGGACTTCTGCTTCTTGTGTAAAGTGGTGCAAGAATGAAGCAGAAAGGAGTCCATTCTTCATTTCCATACTGCATATTTGACTTTAAGTAATCAAATTTTACTGTAATCAAATCCCAGAGGGATGCATGGATTTGGAATCCTGGAATTTGCTTCAAAACTATATAGATACCTGCAAAATAAAAAAAAAAAACCCATATGCAGAGTGACACTTGGCTACCATTTCCTTTCTCTGTTGCCTCCCATATCTTTTATTTTTAAAAGACTTTCTTATTTCATACTCCGCTTTTGGCACTTTATTTTCCAGTGCAGCTGAAGCCAGCATGCCCACTTGCGTAGTTGTATCATTCCTTGTTTGCTGAATATCAGCAGTCAGGTCAGCACATATGGATGTAAAGTTTGCTTTATGCTCCCTCTTGTGGCTGGCTCTGCAGCACCAGGGTACTAAAATTGAAAGGTTCTATTAGAACAGTATTGCTCAACCTCTGGCCTGTGGGGTCATGTCACTCAGCTGGAAGGGTTCCCCATAGGTCTGGAAATTTGGCAGTGCAGGGGAGCAGTTGCAGCATTAATCACTGCAACTTCCAGTGTGGGATGGCTCCGCAGCTGGATCTAGGGCATGGGAGAGGGCCAGCATGCCAGATCACACTTGTGAACACTCCATTTTGGATCTAGCCCAC